AACAATTAGCACTAACCAGGATGAACTGATATAGCTGATATAAGAGGACCATGAACTGATCCAAAAGGTATAGCAGTTGTCCCTTTCCCAGCCCACTGCAACCGAATCTCTAAGGTACTGCTATTCACAGTTGCAGTAAAATTTTTTATGACTGCTTTACCAACTCCTCCTGCTTCTTTTGCAATATTGAAATCCTTCAGCACCAACTTTCTCTGCAATACTTCAATCCAAACACAAATGGTTCACAACGGATTGCAAAGATCAAAAGGAAGTTGTTCAATGTTACAACGTAGAAGACAAAGGTAAAATGCTGAAACCATGCACCTGAACATATATGTCAAATATACGCCTTCCAAGGCTGCTATAGGTTTGATCATCAGTGAACATAATTTCTGCAAAATGAAGGCTTATTGTGTAGCTTCCATTTCCCATGCAGAATGCATAATATGTGAGAGAAAGTGCAGAGACACGTGCATCCATGTACAATTCGCCATTGTTCATATCAAGCTTAGTTGTGTTAGACCAAGTATAGTAGTCTACGCGACCACTATCAAAGAAATGACCAGTGTTGCTGAATACCCAGTTTGATCCTGTTCGACGAAATCTTGCTGGTCCAGCTTCTTGTGAATCATCATCATAGTTTATGTTTCCCTTCGATATTAACTTCCCACCACAATTTACATAGAGAGAGTACCAGGCTGGGACATCCAAGAAAAGGTGAAAAAACAATGTAAGGAATCAACCATACTAAGAAGATTGTTAATATTGTTTTATACAAAAACAAATATATTAAAAACTAGAAAATAGGACAAGTTCAAATAATAAAGCATTAGCAAAATACTAATGTTAGAAACATAGAAGATATAAACTTACTTTTAGGACAGTTGATATTCCCTAGACATGGAATCATTCCCCTGAGAAAATAATAGACATGTTAAATCAGTGTTGTCACAATTAATAATCATAAGATATAAGTATTATGAGATTAATTTAGCAGCGACAATACAAATCTTACAACTCATTATTTCCCTTCAATGATGATGCAAATAAGTTCCTAAGGCACATAGTAAATGGGAAAGGCTCAGACAATACAGTCAAAATTCTCGAAAATAGAAGCATTATGCAAAGCAAAAGATTCTTACACGCTTCCCTGTTGGCATGTCAATTGCTCTGGCTTTTCGATGCTCAAATTGTTGTATGACAGATCGCTGTGTCAATGTATGCATGTGATCAGTTCAGAGCCAAAGACTAAACTAATAATTTTATCAAACACTTGGTGGCACAGAAACGTAGAAGACATAATTTAGTGTAGAAAATCGTAAGTTGCATATTAAGAATTACTTACGTGTAGTCTGGCCTATCTATCCAGTTGGGTAGTGGTCCATTGAAATGGTTTCCGGTTAAATATCTATGTAAAAACAATTAAAAGAAAAATTAATTTTACAGTAATTATTAATTACAGATAAATTAGTAATTTATATTAATAGAGATAACATCAATTTATAATATAAATAAATATAAATTTTATTTAAGCTTTTAGTGTAAAATTGAATTAAATTTAAAATTTACTTTCTAATGAATAAAAATATTATGAACATATATGGAAGCAACTGGAATATAAAACCCCACTAAACTAAGATACATTTCAGTGATACTACCCAAGTATATGCATAATAAATGAATTCACTATGGAGAAATAATAAATCAATTGAAGCTAAAAAATGTTGCTTACAACATATTTATATCGTTTAGGCCACCCAAGGTTCTTGGAATCGGTCCAGTTAATTTGTTAAAGCTGAGATCGCTGGGAAAGGTATAATGTCATAAGAGAGGAAAATCATTATTTGTCAGACATCATGGAATGTTTAGCCCTACAATGCAATAGAAAAAACACAATAGACAAGTATAAAAGTGCAACACCTATATGTTTCGAAAACAAGCTAGAAATGTTTTAACTTTAAAAAATAAAGTTTATGGAAAATTTCGATACTTTTAATTGAATTTTTATCAAATTTTTTTGTTCTTCTGAGTACTTAAATATATATATATATATATATTTGAAGCTTTTTAGTTTGATTTTTTTTGTTAGTTACTTAGCTTGACTGTTATCGTGTCTTAATTTACTTATTTGTCTTTACTTATTAATTACTGTGATGTAGTAGTTAAATGTAAAATATAAAGTGATTTTCATTTTAATTAACTGCAGTCTCTTTATATATATATATATTAATCACAAAATTTAATACATTTTAATGATAAAAACAAGATTTAATCCTTTTCGACATCCCTATTTATGTACGAATGGGGTCCTCGTTTTCTAAAGTGTATCAAAATGGTCCCTTAATTTTGAAAATTGATATCAATTGAGTCCTTTCCGTTAAGTTGGCTGAACGGCGTTAAAAAAATTGATGAGTGGATGGTGAGATGACGAACGAACGCTCGTCCACCAGCGAACGAACGCTCGTCCATCAGCGAACGAACGCTCGTCCATCAGCGAACGAACGCTCGTCGACCACCGAACGAACGGTCGTCCAGTGTGGAACGAACGATCGTCCAACAGTAAGAGGTCGACGAGCGTTCGTTCTCTGGTGGACGAGCGTTCGTTCGCTGGTGGACGAGCGTTCGTTCGTCATCTCAGCATCCACTCATCAATTTTTTTAACGCCGTCCAGCCAACTTAACGGAAAAGACTCAATTGATATCAATTTTCAAAATTAGGGACCATTTTGATACACTTTAAAAAACGAGGACTCAATTGAGACATTCGTACATAAATAGGGATGTCGAAAATGATTAAACCTAAAAGCAAATAAATAAGATAATAGTCACGTTATTTAATAAAAATTAAATTACATAAACTCAACTGAAAAGTAAAATTTAAATACTTAATAAACTAAAAAATAAATAAAAACTTAACAAAAAATATTTAATTTTATAAAAAACATCCAACCAAATTAAGTATTGGACACTTACAGTGATCGTAAGCCAATCAAATCTCCAAGGTATTCAGGAACCATTCCTACGAGATTGCAACTCCTCAGTACTCTAAAAAACCATTTAACAACATGTAAATATGTAGCAATAGAAAGACATTAAAATCCTTTATTAATTATTTTTAATTATAAGAACATTTTATTTTTAACACACCTTATAACACAATGAAAATGATAAATTATAATAGTAATACAAGTATACTCACATTGTCTGCAAATTTGTTAAGTTTTTAAGTTGGGGGAATGAAGAATCTGGTCCTTTCAAGTCGCTAATTCTCCTGCATCACATCTCAAACATGTTGAAAATATAGCAGAGAAAATTAAATTTTTAATATATATATATATATATATATATAT